TTAATTTTGTTGTACGAAGTGTAATGACAATAAACTATAGTAAACTAATCATTCATCATACAATTTAGCCTCCAGATCCCTTATCATCTTTGTTGTTCTCTGCATACTCTTTGTGGTCTCAGCATAATTTTCGTATTGTGGCTACCAGAACTGAATGCAGTATTCCAAGTAGGATCTCAGTGGTGCCACATAGGCAGTGCTATCACTACTCATGATCTTGATGCTATTTTTTTTGTTACTGAAGCCTAGGACTGCATTGGCCTTTTTGGCAGCTGGAGCATACTGCTGGCTCATACTCTCTAATGGCCAAGCTGATCTTGCCATTGTAATGGGATGAGGACTGTTGCCAAAAATGGAATACATTTCAGGAATTCATATGGTAACACATTCATAAATATGTTCTAATATATGCATAAAAGTGAGACAGTCTCGAGACTAAATTGCTGATGCTGGTTAGTTATGCAGCTTCTAAAAATGTTGCCAAAACATTGGCTGATTGGCACTAGCACTGATTAGCACTAGCACTAGCATTTGCTCTGCTGCAGATCTGCAAGTTTTGTAGACTTGTAGCTGGCTAAAATGGAATCTGGCAATAGTCCCAAAATCCAAAAGCAGAGTCCAAAGCAAGGGTTGAATATCACTGGATTTCTGTTCAAGATAAAAAAGCATGGGTCATGAGACCTAGAAAGAACTAATATGTCAACCTTGGTCCAGCACTATTCTGTTGCAAACTGAAGTCTTTTATTCTCCTACCTTGAGTGTGTCAGTTTTTGCTGACCTGTTAGTTTTGGAAGAAAGAAGTGAAGTAGTATTATCTAGATCCCTTTCAGTTTGGTTTCCAGCCAGATTATAGCACTTAGATGCAGAGGTGGGATTCAAATTTTTTAACAACTGGTTCTGTGGGCGTGGCTTAGTTGGTGGGTGTGGCTTGGTGGTCATGTGACTGGGTGGGCATGGCCAACTTGACATCACTCATGTCAAGGGGCGCTTCTCCTCGCCTGGTCTCTCATGAAAGTGGGAATGCTGCAATGGTCGTAAGTGTGAAAAATGGTCATAAATCACTTTTTTCAGTGCCGATGTAACTTTGAATGGTCACTAAATGAAATGTTGTAAGTCAAGGATTACCTGTACAAAAATACAAAAAGCTTCTTTGCTTGCAAAAAGCTGCCCTAAATACCAATCATTAGATTAAAAATACCTGCAAGCCAGAGTTACAAATCAGGCAGGGTGCCAGAGCACCTTGAGGAATGAATATAGTTTAAATGCAGTGATAACTATCAAGCAGCCAACTCTTGCTCATAAAGTGAAACCCTTTAGCAGATAGGTCATTTAAGCTTTCTAGAAAGAGCACACCCAGGAGAAGCAATCCTTAGATTAATTTGTACCACTTAAAGATACCAGCTGGTCTCGCTCATCTCATAAGATATCATCACTGAAGGTGGAGTGCGCCAATGGTGCATTAAGTTTAAAAATGGCCGAACTACAGCACTCGAGAAGTCCTGAATGCTTTCAACTGGGAGATTTTTCCTCATCCGCCCTACAGCCCCGATCTTGCACCAAGCGAAAGCATTCAGGACTTCTCGAGTGCCGTAGTTCGGCCATTTTTAAACTTAATGCACCATTGGCACACTCCAACTTCAGTGATGATGTTGTCCCCGTACACTTCACACAGTTGCCGAAAAATTTCAATCAGTTTATGGTTTTTTGCCAACAGAAACCTTATCACTGATCGCACCTCACAACTCGCGGGATTTTCAATTGCAGCACACATTTCAAATGTTTGCTGTGAAATAACGGGCAACGATACGAACCTCCCACTAGCACGACTAGATGCAGATTGAGCGACAGATGCACAGACCAAAGATGGCCACGCTAGCTCCGCCCCTTCTTTCTACAGATGAAAACGTAATCTATTTTGTGGATAGCCCCGTACAATCCGGAGTGATTAGCCAGTCACGGGGGCGGGCCCTTCTCCAAGATCATGCCCAACGCTGGTTTCCCCATACATGGAGACCATTGAAGCCCCGTTCGACAGATACAACCCATCACTGGAGCAAACGTTCCATCTGTAGAGCCAATTATGCCAGCATTCAACGGCTCTACAAGCTCCGAAAATGAGATGCGGTGTCCTCCGTTTTCTCTGGGCAATGGAAGAACGAGCATCGTGGATCTCCACCACTACCATCGGAGATGGAGACTTACTGGTCGGCAGTATTTAGGACTCCGAGTACAATTGATAATAGGGCTGCAGCCACGCCAATATCTGTATATTGGTCACTCCTGTATAGAGTTACTCCATCTGAGGTCACTGCAATGCTCAAGAGTATGACATCTAGCGCTCCAGGCTTGGATCGCATTCCTGCCGTCAATCTCTTGACCTGGCACCATCCATCTCTAGCAGCTTACTACAACTTGCTGCTAGCTGCCGGGGGCCTGTCAGAATACTTAGTTTGTTCACGGGTGACCTTCTTGCTCAAGACGGACGATCCATCAGCTCTGGGAGATTACCGCCCTATTTCGATTGCCTCTACCATCCTCCGTGCCTTCCATAAGATCCTGGCATGGCATCTCCACGATACCCTACAATTTTCACCCTTCCAGCATGGGTTTCTCCAGCAGGACAGCTGCCTGGAGGCAACGACCCTTCTTCATACCATTCTACGGAGGGTCCATACAAAGCATGAGCCTTGTGCGATGCTGTTCCTAGACATCGCCAAGGCATTTGACACTGTATCCCACCATACACTGTTTCGTGTCACCGAAGCTTCTTGTTTACCACCTCCTTTGGTGTCTTATCTTTGACACCTCTATGAGCGGTCCACAGTACAACTTGGAGGAACTGTTACCACCTGTGGTCAGGGCATCCAGCAAGGCGATCCTCTGTCTCCGCTCCTGTTCATCATGGTCATCCAGATCGTTACAGCTTCTCTACCCAGACCTCGATGGCCACCGGATCAGCAGTATCGCTTATGCTGATGACCTGGTTCTGTTTTCAGAGAAATCCCCACAGCTTCAAGAAAAATTACATCTTTTATTGGAAGCCCTTACACGAGCCAGAATGGCGCTGAATGCCAAGAAGTCCCTGGGTCTTACCATCGCCAGGGATGGGAAGAGAAAGTGCATGAATGTGAGGGTGGCTGCATCAACCCTCTTGGGCCAGAGGATTCAGTTCATTATCTCAGCCTCCAGTTTAATTGGAAGGGCCGTGTGATCCCCAAGTACACTGGCAAATTGGACTCTCTGCTCCAGGAGCTCTCGCGGGCGCCACTAAAGCTGCAACAGTGGATGCTGCTGCTACAAACATTCTTGATGCCCAAGTTCACCCGTGAGCTCATACTAGGTCATGCGCATGGAAATACACTGCGGAAATTGGACTGCCTGATCCGTGCAGCGGTGTGGCGCTGGCTGCGATTGCCCAAAGTTACCCCCATGGGCTACTTCCATGGTCACATCAAGGATGGAGGCCTGGGGGTGCCTTGTTTCTCTACTTCTATCCCGTTGCTCCAGGCGTTGCGACTTGAGAAGATTGCATCCCATCCCACCATGCTGTTTCAGATCATTCAGTGCCAGGATGCATTTGGTCTTCTGCGGCACCAACCAGCCGTGCAGAGTTAATGCTACTGCTGTGACAACCAAGGCTGAGGCACAGGAGGAGTGGAAGACTGTGCTCCTGACTTCTTTCGACGGTTGGGAGCTAGGGGTTCCCAGGATCAACTCAGCCAGCCACGATTGGCTATTACACCCCTCTCGAGTGTTCCCCTGTATTTAAGGGGAATCCAATTGAGGGGCAGCATGCTCCCTACGAGATCAAGGAGTGCACGGGAGGGCGATCGTCAGACCACCACTAAGATGTGTAGGGGAGCCTGCCGGGCCCCAGAGAGGATCAACCACGTCCTGTAAGCTTGCGAGGTGACGCATGATGCCCGGTGCATGCGGCACAACCGTGTTGTGCAGCGATTGGATCAGTTTCTGCACTGGTGAGGCTTCCGTCCAAGTGTCGAGCCCATCGTACTATCTGGCACATCCTTCATTAAACTGGACTTACTGGTGGAGGCGATGAACCAGCTCTGGGTCGTGGATGCCTCCATTGTGTCCGGTTATCGAATGCGGGAGACCTGGGACATCAAGGTCTCCAAATACAGAGAGCCTGATCGTGTCGCTGATATTCAGCGATGGGCCACCATTACCTCATCTGTCTTGGTCCACCACCTCCCTGTTATTGTTTCCAACCGAGGACTGCTGTATGAACTGTTTGGCGCTGGGCTACGGACTTTGGGGACATTGGTCTCCTTATGGTCGTTGGCTCGCTCAAATGCTATGATGCATATAGGCACAGAACCAGGAAAGGTTGAGTCTGGAACTTGGGTGACGTGTGATTCATGACACTGCCACAAGCAGCGACTCCACTGGTATGACCATCTCTAGCGAATTTTCACGCTCAGAGAGATTTGCCTGTCTGATAATTTATGATACCCTAGCCAAATGCCTCGTCATCTAATTAGTGATGCGCATGAATGGATGAACGAGATTCCCACTGTCCCTACCTACTATATAGCGAAACTGGTTTGCTTCATGAACCCTGTGCCACATCCACTTAGCAAGTCGACCTTCATCTATGTAGACTGTGCTGGGGTGTCCAGGGGGAAAGTAGTGACCAAAAAATGTCAAGATAATGGCTGCAATCAAGCAAAGTTGCAATCTTTTTTTTACATATAACCCAGATATTCCTGAGATGACATTGAAATTTTCTTCTATAGTATTTCTTGGGTGTTGAAAGGAATTAAGTCTCTAATACTGAGCTAATGAATTCTTAATGTTTCTAAAAGCTCATGTTTAATTCAAATAAACATTACAAATGTCTAAATGATGGATACTTATAGAATACAGACTGCTTAAAAGACCACCTAGATTCAGCACATTGGCTTACGTTTTAAATCTTTCTTTCCCTATAAGTACAGAGGCAAGCTATAAACTGATAAAATTTACTTTTATTGTGAATATGGGTAAGCAAAATAGACAATACTTAATGTTAAAGGTCTGAAGATCACTGAAAGTATTGTAAATAAAGATGTGACATAATTTCTCTTCCACAGGCACAGTGCAGTGCAGGAAATAGGTTAGTAGGCAATTGTTCTTTCCAAGAAAGTATGTGGTACACATATACTGTGTAGTATACACACAGTGAGTACTAGTAGTAAATGGACTCCAATATATTATGGGTTGGTTGTGCACATTCTACCTTTACCTGTTAACAGCCACTGCTGTTTCTACTATATTTCATTTTTGCCTGGACATAGATGTGAAATGCTGTTTGACCATTCTCCATTTTAATATTTTTATCCAATTTGCAATAAAATTCCCCATTTTATCTCCCTCCCCTCTGTTGAACTTGACTGATTTAGCATCGTCCTGGAACTTTGAGAGAGCAAATTCAGCTAATCATTGCCCAAATTTAGAAAACCAATAGCTAGCTCTGAGAATTAAGCCTATCTGCAAATTTTATCTACCGTAAACCCATTAGTCAATAAGTTTACTTTCCCCCTCCTTTTAGTTCTCCATGAATCAACAAACAGCACCTCCCTCTTCTTTCACAAGAAGCCTTCAATTCACTATGGTGCTATTCTAGCATGCACTGTGAAATGTCCCATTTCAGTAAATTATGAAAATTCAGCAAGCTAACCAAGCAGCATACAAGGGCATATTTCTAGACCTAGACTGTGTCAAATGGATCTACAAGAGGGGACACCTGGGAGGCCATTTATCCAATGAGAAAAACAACTCCTGCAGATACAGGATTAACATTTCATCCATAGCTGAAACAAAGGAAGGGGAGGGAAACATGAAACATATAATTTTCACCAAGTGGAAAAGAAGCATAGTTTTTAGGAGTTTGCAACATACAGTACTGCTACAGGTTTGCTATTTAAATTAAGTTTAAGTTAAGTGATCAGTAAACACATATAGAGGTGGCAGGGAAGTTGCATTCATAGCTACAGAGTTCTCTGAAGGAAGTATTGAATGGTAGGAGTGAGGAGATGGCAAGCACTTATTAACACTACTGACTGAATCCTAAGGCAACCTACACAGACCCTCTTTGCTTACAAGAATTAGAACTCATTGAAACACTAAGAATCTCACCACTGTAGCAACCGTAAATGAAACCATCTGCAGTTAATTGATTTATGACAGAATCTTGGCTATTTTTGAAAAAGCTAAATGCGATCAGACCTGATCTTTGAATGGACTCATAAGCAAGCAATCCCACTTGCAACTGTAGGTAGGTAGGTAGGTAGGTAGGTAGGTAGGTAGGTAGGTAGGTAGGAAGGAAGGAAGGAAGGAAGGAAGGGAGGAAGTTCCAAAAGACAGTTTTAGGATACTACTTTGTGATTATCATCAATAAAAGTACATTGATGTGTCCATGTGATCACTAGGAATTATATTCAGCTCAGCTTCAATTTCATATTGAAAATTACATACATAGTCAGCTGTATATGTGCATATACATACACAGAAACACACATCTGGAGATTGAAAATAGTAATTCCATTCAAAAAGTATACAATTCATTTGCAAAATGTACAGAAAAGATCCTTATTTATTGTAGTGCATCAAAGCTCTGCATTCTGAAAGATATATACTAATTCACAGCCCATGCATGTACAAAAGAAATCGGTGTAACCTGGTTTATTGTTTAAATAGGAAAAATCCTGCATTTGCTCTTATTCCACTTCCTAGCCTTCTATCCTATGTGAAAGAGAAATGCCATGAGTTTTGCTGCTTTTGATATGAAAGGCCACTCTGAATAGTTAAGGACAAATTCTAAGGCAATACATAAAACTGATCCCTGGAAAGCAAAAGATGTTGTACATGGTTGATGAAAATGACAAAAATATCTACTAAGGAATGATACAGTAAACAAATGTAGCTTGAAGTGACAAATATATGGACATTAATTATTTACTAAAACTCTTTGCTGTTAAGATATAATATTAGGACCACATTAGACTACAGATCAAAAGGTTCACAACTGAAACAAGATAAAAATAACTATAATGTGGCAGAGGTCCTAGTGTGATAATTCAACTGAAAAAGCTATAGTGATTCAGAAGAGGTCTTATTTCAAGAGCTTTTCATCATTATTTCAGGTCACGATCATGTCTGTGTACATGTTATGAAACTAATATGAAAGACGTAATGTGGTCGTGTAACTTGGAAAGTAACTGAGAACAATGCCTTCTTCAACTCGATACTTGTTGGTTACATGAACTGAAATTCAATGTATCTGAAGGGAAGCAGCCTGAGGTAATGATTGGACTGATGCTTATAAAAGTCTGTAATCCACTATGGTACATTCAGAAAGTACAACAGCCAAAGACCGAGGTTCTTGTTTCTGTTTTTCCATTACATAATTTGTTATCACGGTGCTTTTTTTTGTAATTGAAGTTGTATTCTTAAATTTTAGCTGCTCAAATTATAGTGTACATAATCTAAAGCAAAAATCTTTCCATTTAACCTAGTCCAATGTTGATCATCTTACTTCAGACATACAAATACATATGTATATATACATATATACACCAGGTGTAGTTTTAGAGCCCATCAATGTTCAAATGTCACAATTTAAATATTACAGGTATATTTTAAAAAATAACTTAATTTGTATCCTATGGATAGGGAAAATTTGTATTTTGAAATAAATAATATACTGGCAAAGCAATTTGTATACAGAATAACTAAAATTAGAAAAGCTACCCCAAAGTGCTACTGTATTAATATTAAAAACGAGGGATTAGAGATAAACAATCTTTTCTTCCATGCCACCATTTTCTGAATCTTGTTCCATGTCACAAGGTAAATTATGAAGCAGAACATCTGAAGGGTGAAGTAACTGAAAGTTGCCATGAGTTGAATCAAAATCTTGTAATCTTGGGTACTGGCTCTGCAATGCATTCATATCTAGAACATAAAAGCATATATAGGTTAAAATTACTTCTTGGCTTGCACTATGCATGTAAGTCCTGCATGATGATTATATTCAAAAAAATTCTTAATGGCTACTTTGTGGGTCCAGCCCAAGATATTTACTGACTAAAACAAGGCAATCAAATATAACCATCAGCCACCAAGCCAAAGTGCAAAGTATCCAGGGTTAATTTATTTTGGCATGTGAAAATACCTCACATATGTCTGTTTCCCACTTTGGCCATAATTATACAATAACAAATTAAATCACTAGTTTTAGACTTGTGTGATTTCTTTTCCTAGGACAATTGCCTCTTCAATTGATTTCCTTTGTAACAAATTTGCCCGAAACATGTAGTGTCACTGTTTCATATTTTTCTCACAAGAAAATAAAAGGAATATTATTAATATTAATTAAATATTTAATAAACTTTTTTAAAAATCAAAAAGATAATCCAGTGAGTGCTCAGTTGAGTGAAATGCAAGAGCTGAGCTGCAACAGAAACTCTTGTGCTGCTTATTGCTTAATTTGTTTACATGAGCCTTTAGCAAGAATTTACCCAGATTGGTTCCATTTTAAATAAAACACTGAAAACTCTGTTCCTGGCCTGAATGTGCTGCAATTATTAAACTTGTCAAACTATTTGTTATGACTCCAGGTGTTTCTCACAATCCTGATTCACAGGGTTCCACTTATTCTGGGAATGGAAACGACCTGAATTTCTTTTTATTAACTTGTGCAGGGAGTAATCTGGAAACACTTCTGGAAGACAAAGAAACTACAAATGCCCATTTCTGGATCCAACCCACTGAACTGGCTATGAGAACCTCCTTAAAAGCCAATTAACAGGAAGAATTACAAATATTATAAAATTTGGGGGGGGGGAACCATTCACCTCCCATCACCATCCCTAAAAGTTCATCAAGCTGAGAGCAAGCGCTTGTATACCAGAGAAATGTCTTCCCAAGGACTAAATGCCTTCATTACCAGCACAGCATGATTGTATTTATGTTCAAAAACAAGCACAGCATGAATGTGTTTATGTTCAAAACTAACTTTTGGAAATGAGGGCAAATTTCAGCCCCATTTGGATGCCTTGGATTCAAACACTAAAAGAAAACCAACCTATTCTTAATTCTTTCTCTGTCACTGTAAGCTTTTTAGGTGACTATTAAAGTCAAGGGGATTTTTTTTAAAAAACCCTTTGAAATTAAGCAGACTTTCAAATATTCAATACTACATACTATAAATGAAAGTATTATTCTTCAGCATACAGTACAGTACTGAACACAAAATATTCATATGAAAATATGAATATTTACAATCAATGTAAAGTAGCACATATATTGCAGCTTTATGTAGCCTGTGTCCCCAATAACTCTGAAATTCATCTCCCACAATCCTGAGATAATATGGCTATTTAGTGGAGGGTACTACCTCAGAGCTGCCTGATAAATTATGCTTTCTAAATATTTTGGGGTGAATCTTATAGATTCCATGTTAGGTCTTCCAGGGAAGAAATGGCAGACTGAAGACAATTCCATGAAAGTGGAACTGATTACTGTGGGGCAATGAACATCTGGCAAGAAAACCTCAATAATTCCTTTCTGGACAAGGAGAGAGCACCCACAAGTGCTCCAGACGGTTATTCCTCATGAAGAGACTTTAAGGTAGCAGTCTCTGGCAGGTTTAAAGACTGGGAACTAAGGGAATAACCATTTTGAGCAGTTGGTGCCTTTGTAAGGAGACTAGCCCTTCCTCAGAGTCTAACAACTGCTTTTTTCACAAACAATACAAAATTCATGGACCAATTACATGACTCAGCGTAAGCAACTTTTTACAATGGCCAGGCAGAAAAGATGCTAAGTTTCTAAATGCTGCCTACATAGCATAAACCTGAAGGGTAATAATTTTTAGTAAAGGCTGAATTTGCATTTAGCAGCACCAGCTTCAAGTGCCTAAAAACTTTTTTTCAGATATGTGTCTGACCCAGGGAGATGTCACTTTCCAGCACTTTATTGCTAGCCACCAAACATATCTTCACTTCTGGTTACAAATTCTTCTTGAGAACAAGCCAGCAGCATCTGAAAAGCCTCTTAAATGCACTGTCATCTTTTAGTTCCCAATACAAGAAGTCCAAAATGTGAATGCCTCAACACAATTTAAGTAGTATTTGGAGAATTTAGAGTCCATATGTATATTTTTTAAAAGTATATTTGAACATGTTGTACTGTATATTCAAAATTTTCAAAATATTTACTTTGAAATAAACATCTCACTGTCTTTTAAGGTACACTAACATCCAACAGGATTGTGTTTTCTGAGAAATTCAAAATGAATTGTTAATATAATGTATATACCTTCTGTGCAGCTCAATGGGATACATACACATTAGAAAAACTGCTCCAATAAAACATTACTGTACCTTTTCCAGGGTTGTCATGACAGCACTATTTGAATAATGCATGATTTAAAGGCAGTTCAGGCACTGTTTCAATTTTTTATGCTGTCAGTTGTTTCTAAAGATATGAGATTCAATATCAGGGTCACCAATCACTGACCTTACAAGAAAAGATTAAGAGAACTAGGAATGTACAGTCTTACAGTATGGAGTGGGGGAAAGACTTAAGCAAGCATCTTACAAAGAAAGTAGCCACGTCACTGGCATCTACACATAATCTAAGCTCCCCCATCTTTCTTCTCTTTACATAATACCGCGGCTGCCACTTTAGAAAATGCCTGTCTCAAAGTTTATTTTTATTGGAAAAGTCATACTGGCACACCTGGGAAAACCCGAATGTGAGAGTTCAGGGTTTTCCCTCAGTAAATCAAAAATCAAAACCCAACCCCTGCACCCATCACATGGTCCAATCACCAGATCTTCCAACTTGAGACATCCCTTCAACCCTTCCTCCTCCAGGTGTAGGAAGAACATGACCTTGACTGAAAAGAAGAATGCTATTATGTCTAACTACTAACACTCTAACCCCACCCTCCTAATATCCCAGGCACAGGAATGTGGCAGCATGAAAGTTTCTGGGTTTAATATGGTTTCCAAAGCTCACAAAAGTAATGATACATTTATTCTCATTCTATATGCCAGAATATGGAATAATGGAAGTTTAGGAATACAGATTCTACTAGAAGAGTCATTAAATGTGGTGTCACCAAACAACGATTAGTGTCAGCTTTTCTGATAAGAGAAAACGCAGAAGGATTTGTATTGGAAAGTTCCAGAAATGAGAAAGTATTTAGAAGAAAGCGGAAGCCAATGATGAGAAAAAGCTTTAGTTTAATCAAGTACCGATCCTTGGCTGCTATTTAGGTAAGTAGGCACAATTTCACAGTCTCCCTTACAAAAAGGATGATTTTTCCCATGTGCGACACCATCATTCTGAAAGTGGAACAGGAAATCCTGCTGTTGCATGTTTTCAAAGTTCATCTTAAAAGTGGCACAGTTCTGGGACAAATCCAGGGCATAACAGATGGCACAATTGATTGCTAAAATACCACAGTGAAAGTAAATCCATTGTACTTTTTACATGTCATGAGAAATGTCATACCATTCAACGTGCAAAATAGCTATTTTGAGTGCTTGTACCTGAACTAAAACATGGATGTGGGATGTTTTGGTTTGTGTAATTGGTTTCTTTTTCTAGATATGGATTGACATGTGATTGCTCTATAAAAAAAGTGGAGCCTAAGGAGTTGAGGAGAAACAGTGTTAAGGGATTTCCTTCTGATGGCATGTGCATCAGTACCTGGAAGCCATTTTTTATTATGGAGACACTGCTCTAAGGAACAGGCACACAAGTCAGTACATTGAAGTTGACTAATAAGAGTGGGTAAGGAAAGATCAGAGACAGTCAGCTGATGGGATTTCTTGGGTCATCATTACAGATGGAAGAGAGAAGACAGAGTAGAAGGCATCAAGGTCAGTGTTGGAGAGAAAAGAGGGGTTACCTTACACCACCTTTGCCCTCTATGTTCAGTACAAACACACTAGGACCCCTCTAGATCAGTGTTCTCAACAATGTAAAGTTTAAAAGGTGTAGACTTCATGTCCCAGAATTCTCCATAGTGGGAATTAAGATCCACATGTCTTCGAGTTGCCACAGTTGAGAAACACAGCTCTAGATTTTGTTTTTGTTTGAAACAATATAATCAAAACAATGCTTCACCAAAATCTATTTTCATTTTGTGTACATCTCTAATTTCCAGGAACTGGAAATCAGCTCTTTGGTCTAATCAAAATTTCATATGCTAACAACTATGCGAAAAATTTCATATGCTAACAACTATGAGAAAAATTCAAAAGCTAACATGAAACCACTTCTGCAATTAACTTCTCTAAGAGCCAACAATGATACTGCCATAATGCCCCAACATATTTTGGAGAAATGATATCAAAAAGCCACAGGTAAAATCAGAAAGTATGCTTATTTATATCTATTTCTGATATTGATTCAAGAAAAAATATGCCATATTTTTAAATAAATAGTAAGTGTTTATGATCAATTTCTCCAAAATCTGAAGATATCAAACCCAAATCTTTAAAAAAAAAAAACTATATGAAAAAATGTGAAAGAATAAGAGCCATATCATTTTATAGCTGTAGTTACAATTCTATTTAGTAATCTAATGAAATTATTATTCAAGTATATAAATATTTCTAATACATTTATATAACTATCAAATTATCTACCCAAAACTTGTGTAAAAATTAAATATAATATCAAGACCACAAAAGAACAGTTGGTTCTTGGTTTTTCTTCAAACCAAGTAAAGTAACTTATGACTTTACATTGCAAAGATGAAAGCAGGGAAAATTCCTTTTGCGGCTCAAGTCTTTGTGGCTGAACATTTTCCATTAAAGCACGAAGCTATCATTTCAACTAGCAACAGAATTTGTAAGGTACAATGCATTGGAGAATTAGATTGGAAGTCTAGGACGATGTTTCTCAACCTTAGCAATTTTTACATGTGTGGACTT